GGTGCAGCTGCTGCGCTGGGTATCCAGCTGAACGTCACGGATACAAACAGTATTACGCTTGAGCTGATAAATACCTTAACAGCTGGTGCAATGTCGGCACTGAGGGATGCGAAGAAGAGAAAGCGCATCCATGCCGTGGGTGGTGTGGTGACACAGGTGCTGCTTGATGACGAATCTGTGGTATTCATTGACGCGCAGGGGCTTCATCCAGGGTTGAGCAAGTTTCGCCGGCACGTGATTCACCTGTCACCGACGCTGGAGCAGGAGTTCTTTGTGGTTGCGCAGTACCTCGGCAACACGACTGTCGCCAACGCCCACGCTGTGATCCGCAGCGATGGGGCTGCTGCTGTTGGTGATGTGCTACGGCGGTCGCTTGTGACGTTTGGCGGGTCGCTGCTGTCGTCCGCGCTGCTGGGTGGCGGTGACGCGCTGGAGAGCCACCTGCCTCGCGATGGCGATGTGTTCGTCGTGGGCCTTGCTGCTGCCGATGTTGCTGTGATCGCGGGTCACCTGGCGAAGCACAGCGGTGTGCGTGTGCTTGTGTTGTTCACGGAGTTCTCGTTGCTGTACGGTGAGTTTGTTGCTGCGTTCAATGGGAGTGCGGCTGCTGGGCGCCTTGTGTTCGCGACGAGCCTGCCGCACTGGGCGGACGAGAGCACGACCTCTGAGACGGTGCGGGAGTTCCACGCTGCTGTCAAGGACAGGACGAAGTGGATTCCGCTTGCTCTGAGGGGCTTCGCTACTGTGAAGCTGATGCGCTCAGTTGCTGCTCGAATGGACAAGGTTGGTGCAAAGCATCTGGCTGATTTCTTCTACACCAATATCATATTGGCGGTGGACGACATGCACTACGGCCCTTTCTACGATGATGCGGATTGCAGCGCATACATTGGTGACGTGATGTGTGGTGTGAACTATGGTGCCTCGTCACTCNACGACATGCACTACGGCCCTTTCTACGATGATGCGGATTGCAGCGCATACATTGGTGACGTGATGTGTGGTGTGAACTATGGTGCCTCGTCACTCTCTGTGTGGGCGCTGGACCGCGTGTTCGACCCCAAAGTGCCTGAGCTGCTTCCCGCTGTGACGCCGTCGATGCTGTACACGGAACCATCTTTGCTACGGAGTGGATATGTTGTTGGCGTTCTGTTAGGAACCATTTCTGTGACTGCGTGTGTGCCGTTATTATTATTATTCCTCAGGCAAGACAGTCGTGACAACGCCAGGGCTGCGAAAAACAGTGAAAAAGCTGTTACTCTGATATTCACTGACATCGAGAGCAGCACTGCGCTGTGGGCTGCGTGCCCCGAGATCATGCCTGACGCTGTGGCGACGCACCACCGGCTGATCCGGTCGCTGATTGCGA